ACGTGGCGACTTCCCACATCTTCGTTTGAATTCGAGACTAATCCACGATTGTCGGCGAGTTGAGTCCATACGGTGCATCCCTGACATGTTCTGAGGATGTCCATGCATCGGGCACGCTTTGCCCACTTCGCCCACTGAGTGAAAAATTTTCTCAAAAATACCTCCCTCTCAAAAAATGGGGCCTGAATCTCAAAGGTAAAAAAATATCATAGTGTAAGTGTCTCGAGAACTACTCCAGTACTAAATTGTACCTTTTCCTATTTGTTTCGCTATCAAAAATTTCCTAAAAATACTTCCTACCCAAAAAATATGCCCCGAGGGTATGTACCTCAAAAATAGTATTTTCCCTGAAATTAGAGCCACAGAACGACATCCTTGCTAAATTTCAGCTGTTTATACCCGTCTGTTTCGCTTGAGGGAACACTTCATAATTTGTCACATAAATTTTTAACTATTGAAATTCAGTTTTAAAATGTTCGCCGTATTCATATCTGCAATTAAAAAAAACCATCTGACATTATAAGTTGAATTTTCGAAAAAAAAAGCCGACATTGAAGTGGTTAAAATTTCCCCCTCCCCCCCAAAAAAAATTAAATATACCATTGCGCCATGCACCTCCAAAGTCTGATTTTTTTTATGAACTCAGCATCACAATAGCTACTTGTATACGATTTTCATATTTATACAGCTTAGAATTAGCGTCAGTCACCACCGTCTACGGTATACAGGGTGGGGCAAAAGTCAGAAAACAGGAATTTTGGGGGCATTTAATTTTCGAAGTGACTGCTTGCTGGCAGTACGTTTCCGTATCTCTTTTTCATCAATCTGGCCCACAATAGTTGAAGTTCAGTAAAGAGTGTTCCCATTGTGTCCACCGCAACTAGCTGCAAATAATCGATCATTACGCACCTGGAACAAATTTGGAAATGTTGGTGATAATGTGTCATTTCCATTGCTGTTCAATAGAAGCCGACCAAACAGCACTTCTGGCCCTAGAGTCCATGTAGCCGCAACAATCAACGCGAGAGAAGTTAAGAGCTGTTGGCATTAGTGGAAGGTTGGACAGTAGGGAAAATTCAATTCTCCCAAAACTGTTCCCTGACTCTTGCCCCACTCTGTATACTGGGCGGTCCAAAAGTCCCGCCTCAAGGAAATTTATTTTATGTGTTCGGGACATTGACCAATTGAAAGACAAAACTCCCACAGCCTGTGCGACCATCACTGGAGCTGTCACGCGTGTGCGTGACAGCTTTCGTCACCGTGTTCACGTTTATCAAACCCTTAACGGTAACCAATTTGAACATTTGATGTAGCCATATGAGGCAGATCTTTTGGATCACCGTGTATTTTAAATATTAGATGTCCTCCATATACTGAGCTTAAGATTATATACTTACAACCGCTGACAGGTTGCGTGGCCCGCGGTATAAACTCATATCTTTTCAGGCTATACGAGTCATGGGGGCATCCCTCGTTCCGCTAACGCGTGCATACGGGATGTCGGTTGGTCGCATGACCCAGCAAATACAAGAGCGTGCAGCCTACCGAAATCCCGTGTGGCAGCTGACGTGTTGATGGTGGAAGCAGAAGGACGGATTGCCTCACAAGGAACTCCCTTACAGATGAAGTCCCGCATGGAACGTTCTCATAAAGAGACAAAGTTCTTCGACAGGGTCAGAATCGTACGCAAGGACGTTTTGCCTCAAGGCCACAAGGCCAACCAGCTTTTCTATCGTGCGCGGCTGAAAAAAACCTCTTCGGTTAAGAGGTATAAGAGAAGGGTTTCATATCATTCAAAGTTTCTGGCCACCTTGAGTTCCCACGTAAATTTTCTCGCCTTTTAAGTTGACCTTTTGACCTTGAAAGGGCAAAAGTGATTTTAAGAAATTTTTTAAACCGAGGTTTTGCCACAACTAAGTTTAAAATCTCCGTCTATGATTCACGGGATTTCCACCTATTTCAAGAGTCCGGATTTCGTAACTGCTTTAAATATGGATGCCGGTTGTGTCTCTATCCGGCCCGGGAGCCATCGTGAACGGAATCGAAAGCGATTCATCGCTCTCTTTTCGATTTCACGCCCATTTCTATGTCGTATTTGCCTGTCGTCGTTGTGTTTTTGTTCTTGAGACTGTTTTTCGATCGGAGACTTTTCCCAGCGTTTATTTGACAGCTGCGAACATCCTCGCCGGCGCAAAAAAAAAATTCCGATGGAGAAACTGCGCCCTTTCGGAGCTTGCTAATGTTTGCTTGCCTCCTTGTTCGTCTGTCCTGTTGGCATCGGGTGTTCTCTCATTTTGTTAGACGGTTTCTCGTCAGTGGGACTCGGTTTGCGTTGCGACTGTGAGACGCACAAAAAAGTATTTCGTGTTTCTGCAAGCATCTTTTATTTTGGGCACTCACTGACAGTATTTTGAGTGTTTTATATTTCGTACTGCGTAGCCCCCGGAGACGAGTATTTTGCTTTTTACACTCTAATTTCGTAGTATTTAATATATAATGCCGCTATGATTGCCACCGTTCGGTTGTTCCTCGAATTCCTCAAATCGGTTTGGAAAAAGTCGTCGTAAAGCTCGATCGGAAATTTGGACCCTCGGAAATTTAGACAGAGATACTTTTCGGATTAGAACACCAACCCTCTGCAAGACGTCGCGCGAGACTCAAGCGACGGAACGCTCGTAAACTAGACACTTGCGCATGGGAAAGCACTCGACGGCGCAACCGCCGAGCGAAACGCTCGACTAATCCTCCTCCTCGCCGACTCAGACGAAGAAGCAGTCCCGAATGGTCATCCTCGACTTCCTGCTCTGGAAATCGAACTCGTAGTTGTCGTCCTCTTCATAGTTGCCGTCCTCCTCGTAGTTGTCGTCTTCCTCGTAGTTGCCGTCCTCCTCGTAGCTGCCCTCCGCCTCGCGCATCCTCTTCTTCATGCTCATCATGAACTGCCGGGAGAACCAGACGTGGAACGTGACGAACTGGACGATCGTCATGCAGCTGCCTTCGAAGATGAGACCGAGAATCCCTCCGGCGCTACCTGCGGAATGCGTTCGCATTACGGACGGATCACAACCCGAAAAACTTCGTCGACTCACTGATGAAGTCGATGGTGGCGTAAGCCGAAAACGAGATCGTCTTTTCCGACAGCATGCTGTAGTAGACCTCGACCATCGTCACCTCACTATCGAGAAAATAGTGTTCAAGTTACTGCATCATTTTTTCAGACCTTGATTGATATTCAAGCTTGATTGCTTAAAAAAAAATTCCTCACCTTTGCGTGAGGTTGTATCCGAATTGCGCAGTCTCGTTCTTCACGTAAGCCGGGTTCAAGAGGTCGTAGGTGACCATCGCGTCATAATAGCTTTCTGTGCAAAGAGGTTTGCATTCCTTTTCTGCAAGGGAACGGATTAAACCCAGCTTAATCCCACTAGAGAAGGCTCATGTTCGTATCGTGACGACGTAGTACCATTAGGATTCGAGGTTTCACCCCTTTATAAGTAACTACACCTCAAAGGTTGATCGCATTAAACGAATTTACCTCTTTGTGAAGACCTTGATCTCATTCAGTTATGTCGCATGAAAGACCTGCATGTGCAAACATTTAAATAAATTGATAGATAAATCCGCGCAAAGATGTGGCAGTGAAAGACACAGGCGGACAAAATCTCGCACCAGCAAGAGAAGGTTGTTGGCTTGGAGAAAAGGATCGCAGCTGACCGGCATTCCGGAGAGGAAACAGGCAGGACTCCCGAGGAATATCATTACAGCTTATGTCACTGGTGGGAGGTCGAGGAGCGGGAAGGGCATCGTGCGGCAAGTGGAACCGAAGGGAAGGATGGAGGTTCATGGCAGCGGAGGCGTGTGGGAGATGGTGGAGACTGGGGAAAGACGATGCGAGAGTGGACGACGCGAGGACATGGTCTTCCGGCGATTCTAGCGCGTAGCGACAGTAACTCCATCCAGGTAGGTTTCTACGCTTTCATCATTCTTTTAGCCAATCGTTTGCTCCTTCGGATGGGAGCTGCAGCAAATCATGGAAGCAGCTCTTAAGGCCGAAGGAGACGCGGATATATTAATATAAGGACCATTTCGTCTCGATATACAGAACACACGATGCTTGATATTGCACCCGCAAAAATGAAATCGCCTAACGACGCCCGCGGCAAGGATCATCGAAAACCGTCGAGTAAACGAAGTCGCCGCTCGTCTCGACGATCGAACCCACGCGAGCGCGTGCATTTCGATAACCTCGCTCCGCCCGATAGCAAGGGAACATCGGGGCCCCGGCGACCTATTGGTATTCCGGCTGACCATCCTCGCAAGCACGACAAGAGAGCGCGAAGGACGTGAGAGACCTCTGGAATGTTCTTAAAGAAAAAAGAAAGTCGAGGACGCGGAGGAGAACCAGGAGTCAAGGCTGCCCCAGTTTCCACCTCCGTCGTCTCGTCCCCGATTCCTCGCATCTCGCTCTCGACCGATCACCGAAAATCGTAGCCATCTGATTTTTTAAATTGCTACCCTGATTTTGCCTATTTTATATTTATTATTACCATCATTATTTTATAACTTTTAAAATCAGGCTTCCGATTCTTACCCAGCTTCTTCCAGCTGCGTACTACAAGTAAAGAGGCAAAGCGCAAACAATTTCTTTTTTTCGGAAATGGTTTGATCCTCTCGCGAAACCCGTCGTCGACGCCGAGCGAGCCACCGCGCGTCCTCCGGGGCCGTGGGAACGCGGCCGATGGATTCGCGATGGGTCCCGCGGAAAGTGACGAATGTGAGCAATTTTAAATCGTTCATCGAATTTAAATTTAAATTTGATATATATTAAACTCCAAGTCGGTCATTCGGAAGCGATGCGAAGCAAACTCGGAGAAAGTCCAGTCGATTCGAAGGAGCATAAATGAAGGAGCTCGAATCGCTTTCCGCTTGGTGAAAGTGCTCCGAGTCGACAAAACCGCTCATATAAAATGTGATTTGTCATTTATGATAAGTCAAGTATGTTCTTGTACGAAAATCGTTCAGTGCGTGTGATCGCCTCATGCCGAAACGGTTACGGAAGAGTCAATTCGCTAAATCGTCAATTCGCTAAATCGTCAATTCGCTAAATCGTCAATTCGCTAAATCGTCAATTCGCTAATTCGTCAATTCGCTAAATCGTCAATTCGCTAATTCGTCAATTCGCTAATTCGTCAATTCGCTAATTCGTCAATTCGCTAATTCGTCAATTCGCTAATTCGTCAATTCGCTAATTCGTCAATTGGCACTAATGACTACTTTCCTTCAATGTCGTCGTTGAGTATTTCAACACTTTGGGTGACTGTGACCCAGTCAGCGACATTGAAGGAAAGCAGTCATTAGTACCAATTGACGAATTGACGAACTGACTCTACGTCGAACCCCCGTCGGCGACCCCATAGCAAGATTCGCAGATATGATCTGTTTCCCAAGTCAAACATGGAAATTGGAAAGTGAAAAAGCGTCGGGGAAATCGAAACGCGTCGCCGGATGTTGTCTTTCAACGATATGCTTGATCGTCGCGTGGAAAGTCGCGAATCGCCGCGAGGAAAGTCGCGAATATCGCCGCTTCGCGATCGCCGCTTCTCACGCAGTCTGTTGCCAGCCATTGTCAATGGCGACGGGAGGGAAACGAAATGGGGCAACCCCGTGTCACGAGAGCGATCGTTTGGCCGTTTTCCATCATCGCCGCGATCGTAATCGTCATCGCGATGCCAGATGCATCACGTCTCGATCACGGAGGAAATTTCTCTCGTTGCTTTCTGCCGGGACTTGCTTCATGAAATTTACGAAGAGAAATAAAACAAATTTAAATAAAAAATTAAAAATAAAATTAAATAAAAACAAGAAAAAGAAAGAGGCATTTTTTTGTTGGTTGTTTTACCCTTGAAGCAATCTGACTTTCCATCGTTGCACTTGAATTTCCTTCTCGTATTTATCTAACTCGTGTTCATTTTCGACTCGGCAAAACTACACGTTGAACGGGTGCTCCAAAAGGAATTTTTCGATGCCCGCTGGGAAGGATTCGCCTTCCTTCGGAGGCAGGCAGACATTGAATGCGTATTTGAATTTCCTCGTCGCATTCCCTCGTGCGTGTGCGTGCTTGAGTGCATGTGCGTGTGTGTGTGTGCATGTGTGCGTGTGTGTGTGTGCGTGCGTGTGTGCGTGAGGTTGGGCGTGCGTTTTCCCCCCAACATGCGCATTCGCCTGTGCCTCCGTCGGGCTTTCTTCCCCGAAATCTGAAGCCCTCAGACGGCCTCGACATGCAACGAGGCCGACAGAACTGGGCTTCGGCTACGAACAACGCATTCGAACTTTTCATCCGATCGTGCCCACGAAAGCAAGGAAACAAGACTTCGAAAGAGTCGGTCAATCGATTCTCAATTGATCAATTGCCCGGTCAATTATACGAAAGGAGCGGAGAATTCCGTATTTGGGCATTCATAACTTTTTTTTTTAATCTTTCATTTTGGACCCTCACGAAAAGCATCACCATTTTTTTGCACTGTGCAATCCTCGGTTGCTAGAATTTTCCTTTCGGTGCATCAATTCTCGCGGGATATTTTTCCTCGTTAATCCTTAAGAACCATCAATCTCGACTACGAGATTGCGAGCAAAAATCTAAGGTTGGCATGTTGCATTACTTTCCTCCGATAAATTTCTTTTTTTAGGGGCCGCAGAGGCGCGGAAAAACCTGAACCTTACAATTCGCTCATCGCATTTTAACGGGATCGCGTTTCAGAAGAACCGCATTTTCACTCGTAATTCACTCGGCACAGCTAAATTTTCACTCGCTTGCGGAACTGCGTTTCAGAGCCGACAAAGCGCATGAAGCGCTGCTGCAAGTTGTGCCTAAGAAAATCCAGCCATGCAACAAGAATTTCGAAAGAGATTTTCCGAATTTGGACTGCGATCCCTTGAACGCAAAGCTCATCACGGCTGGATCTTCAGACCCAAAAGCGCAGACTCTGCATTAGTTAATCAATTAACTCATTAACATTAACGTAGATGGATTCGAGACGCGGAAACCCTACGAAACACCACCGCCGCACCAGCACGAGGGCCACAAGTGGGCCGCAAGTGGGCCACAAGTGGGCCACAAGTGGGCCACAAGTGGGCCACAAGTGGGCCACAAGTGGGCCGCAAGTGGGCCGCAAGTGGGCCGCAAGTGGGCCGCGTGGGATTCTTCCCAACGCCGGGAGTCTCACAAGCAGTTGCGAACGATTTGCCGTCGCTTTATTCTACCTCACACCTAAAACCTTCAGCCCCTGCAACCGAGTCAGACGAACAGACAGTCCCGAGTGGTCAGTCCCCTCGACTTCCGCTTGTCGAGATAAATGGTCCCGTTGGATCGCGCCGCCGCGTTCAGCGACGCCAGGACGATCTTCCTGGCCTCCTTCTCTCGCATCCGCTTGTTCCCCCACATCACGAAGCGGCGGGACAGCCAAACGTTGAAGGTGATGAACTCGATGACGGTCATGCAGCTGCCTCCGAAGATGAGGCCGAGAATGCCTCCC